TGAATGCTGGGTTGAATGCCTTACTATTTTCAACTTCATTGGAAGCAAGCATAGAGATCAGGCGCCTATGGCAAGAGATTGTGAGTCAGTTCAGCTTCATTTCATAGTGATTTCATAAAATTAAAGAACATCACCGATATTATATTGAAATAAGAGACCAAGAATGAACATGAACGATGTTATATTGTAATTGGAGATATTGAAGAACACCAAGGGGACAACCATTGCAAGTGAAGATATTGGTCAAGACATCTTAGATGATGATGCATTACATGTAAGTTTGTTAACTCCATTGTCCCATTCGATTTATAAGATGTTCAATTTTACAATTTGTTTTATAATATGTTAAATTTTGCAATGCAAACTATCATCTCACCCATGTGCAAAACAAAATTGAAGAAGATTGATTATTTATATGTGTCAATGTTTCACTATATGTAGGAGTTTTGCTCAAAATTTAAACACGACATAGTTAGAAAAGGAAAGAACAAAATTGTGGTACCACAAGAGCATGAAGAAGATGAGGAAGAGGAAGAGGAGGACGAAGAGGAAGGAGAACAGGAAGAAGAACAAGAAGAAGAAGATGAAGAAGAACAGGAAGAAGAAGAAGAGGAAGAACAAGAGGAAGGTGAAGACGAAGCTTGGATCCAAGAGGATGAGGTTGGGGATTGTTGATTCAATTCCTAACAACTAAAATGAGTTATTAAAAACAACAACTTTAATTCTCGCAAGTGCACGAACTGTTTATAGTATAGCTTATGTAAATACGAGGTCGATCCCACAGAGAATGGTAACTTGGTTCCAAGCTAAATTACTTAGAATGCTAGAAAAACATAGAACAAAGAAACTGACTAACTAGCTAAAGGCAAGGTCAAATTCAACAATGCCTCTTGCTAATTACTCAAGGTCTAGGACAGAATCCTAGCACCACACACGCACTCGAAATGGGGGGTTTTGTTGTTGAAATGAAAAGAAGAACGTGAAATGAAAGTGCTCGAAAGTAAACACTGGCAGCAATCAAAAAGTTGTGAAACAAAGATTGAGAGGTGTTAGAGCCTTGGAATCTACCACTAGTCTTCCTATCCAAGTTATGAATGCATAGAAATTGACTCAAGCTTCATCAAAAATAGATTATCGCATACAAGCCTATGGTATCTAGGTGCAGGATGCATGATTCTCCTAAGACATGTGATTATGCATGGTATCTACACAACACGTAATCTCTAATATGCAACCTAAGCATGGTATCTACTTAGAATAAAGCATACAAGAGTCATTAAGCTCCTTGAGAATATGATAATCACACAAGTCCTAGAACATGTAAATGGATTAGTTAGACATAACTATGAGTACAGAACATAAGAAATACATAGATAGGATAAAGAGAGGAGAAGAACTAGATGATGGCAGCAAGGAATTCCCAGGACAGCTCCAGCTCTCTTCTCTCTTTGTGGTGAATCTGAATGTGTGTTTGAGAGTAATGGATAAAGTGAATGTGTGTGTCTGCCTATATCCCTTGAATGAGTGAGCAGCTCTCTATTTATAGAGAGAAATTTCGTCCTCCCCTTTGGCTGGTGAAGCACACCTCTCTTAGCTGCTCCCAACTGCTCCCTTCTGCCCATGCTTGCCACTTGCTCCAGCTGCCCATACTTGCCAACTGCTCCAGCTTCCCAATACATGCTTTGGTATGGTTTCTTTATGGAAAGCTTGACTTTTGTTCATCTTTCTGAGTTTCTGAGCTGATTTGACTCCCATGTATGGCTGCCCATGCTGAGCACATGGCTCTAGGGATGTAGATGTGATGGCAGCCAATCATGACATTTCTGTGACCTTGGTTCAGTCTTTGACGTGCTAAGGGCTCCAGATTTATCCAATTGGGCTGAAATTTGGATATGTTATAATAGACACCCATTGGAACAACTTCTATCAAGGATGTCTCCTCATCCGACCTGTGTAAGTTGCTGAAATGAGGCCTGCAAGATGACCTACGAAACTGGACTGACAAGGAGTGTGGCCCAAATTGGGTTTGTCTTTAAGCCCATATTCCTCTTATCCCAATCAGCCCTTAACAAGCATGGATTGCATCAAATGTGATCTCTTGCTGTCTTAACCTACAAAACACACAAACATAGGTAAGAGACTCAAAATAAAGAGAAGCTAAACAAAATTACTAAGCAAAGAAGGCATGCAAATGTGTGAAATTATGACCTTATCAGGGATGAGGATGAGGACGAGGATGACGACGAGGCCACAGCTAAGGGTAATGCGGATGCAGAACAACACTCCACAGACCAAAAACACAAAGGTGATAAAAGTATTCATTCATGTACCCCAAAGAGAAAGAAAACCAATTAAATTATGGATATGATTAAAAAATAAGGTTAACCAAATTATGGTTTACGAAATTGGGGATATTTTGGAATGTTTTTCACACTACAACACAGTTTGTAATACTAAGTAATTTTGGATCATGGCTCCGTTTTGTAATGTAATATGTTCGTATTATTACCCCTTACCGTTTCGCATGCTCTGTATTTTGGATAATAGCGCCCTTCGATTTATAGAAAAAAAATATGTCTAATTATGCTTGTACAATAAAATATGATCCATTTTTTTCTTATTTTCATTTGCGCATAGTCACTCTTGCAGTGCATTACCGTCATGCAATTGCATGTTTGCAATACAAATGCTGACCGCCTGTGGGCAAACTCCACATAGCTTAAAAATGCAAACCTAATGAATGTATAGCGTGAAGACAAAGAAAAGCAGGTAACTACTTTATTATGACGCTATGTCTATTATTAAATATTATGGTTAACCACATTTTGGTTTACGAAATTGGGGATATTTTGGAATGTGATTCGCACTACATGACAATTTCTATTACTAGATAATTTCATATAATTGGTCGTTTTGTAATATAATATGTTCGGATTATTGCCCCGTACCATTTCTCATGCTCTGTATTTCGGATAATTGCGCCATTCTTCTTATTTTCGTTTGCGCACAGTCACTCTTACATTGCATCACCATCATGCAATTGCATGTTTGCAATGCAAATGCTGACCACCTGTGGGCAAACTCCACATAGCTTAAAAACGCAAGCCTATTGAATGTATAAAGCGAAGACAAAGAAAAGCAAGTAACTACTTTATTATGACCCTATGTCTACTATTAAATATTATGGTTAACCACATTTTGGTTTCCAAAATTGGGGATATTTTGGAATGTGATTCGCACTACATGACAATTTCTATTACTAGGTAATTTTGTATAATTGGTCGTTTTGTAATATAATATGTTCGGATTATTGCCCCGTACTGTTTCTCATGCTCTGTATTTCAGATAATTGGGCCCTTCGATTTATAGTAAAAATATGTCTAATTATGCCTATACAATAAAATATGATCCATTTTTCTTAATTTCGTTTGCGTACAATCACTCTTGCATTGCATCACCGTCATGCAATTGCATGTTTGCAATACAAATGCTAATCGCATGTGGGCAAAACTGTTAAGACCGTAAATGCGAAGCTAATGAATATATAGCAAAGAAAAAAAAACAAGCAACTACTTCATTATGAGCCTATGGATATGATTGAAAAGTAGGATTAACCAATTATGGTTTACGAAATTGGGTATATTTTGGGAATGTTGTTCGCACTACATAACAATTTTCTAATACTAAGTATTTTCAGATAATTGTCCTTACCGATTCTAATATGTTCAAATAATTTCCCCTTACCCTTTCTGATGCTATGTATATTGGATGACCGCTGCCTACGTAAAACTTTCATCGAAGCACCTTGTGGGAGCATATATTTTCGTCATCAATCAGGGCACGCCACGTGGAAAAGAAGATTATCTCTTAAATTAATTAATTAAACTAGTTTATTTGGCCAATTAATTATATAATACCATTAATTTAGATATTATCCTAATAAAGAGAATACAATATCATTAATTCATATATTATCTTCATAAAAAGAGATAATATCATTTAATTCAGATATTATCATAAAGAGAAGATAATATCATTAAATCAGATATTATCTAAATCTGACTCGATCCCTACGAATTTGGGTAGAGAATAAACTCAGCATATTCTCTACGAAACCCTAGCCCCGAGGCTCCTATAAATAGACTACTTCATTCATCATTCAAGGTACATCTAAAACCTACTCCTAAACCTGAGAAAAATACCCGAAGCTCTCTCTCCCTCTCCACTCTCCATATTTTCTCCACACGGCTCCGCCCACCACACACGGCTCCGGCCACCCGGTTCACACCATACATAGACTTCGTACCCTTTGCTTAGCTATTGTTTTCCTACAAACACTCGAACTAACTTAGGCATCGGAGGACCTTTGGCCAACACCCCCCGAGTGTAGTCTATTTACTCAAGTCTTTTTTACAGGAATCGAGGAAGAGAGAGAAGAAAGATCGAAGGTTGAAGGATCTAGAAGCGAATATTCTCCCACGAGATTATTTGCACAAACATTTGGTGGTTTCATTGAGAGCACGAGTTATACTCAATGCGTGCTCAAGGAATTCGTTCCTCCTATTTTCCAATCCATCGAAGCCTTCCAAACAACCATGGTTGGAAGCAAGCGCACGAGGAGCAAAATGGCCGCGATGGCTAAATTCGCGATGGCCCAAAGCCACTCCACCCACTATCCAGCGATCGACATGGTGGCACCACCACCTCTCACCACCATGCCACCTACTAGACCCGCAGCCGGATCTAGCAACCTCCGTGGAACTGCCTCCGAGCATGCTGGAACCTCCCATCAAGGTGGGCTCGTTACCACCACTGACTTAGGCCCGGTCTTGGAGCAACTTCAAGCATTCCCTCCATTGCCTCCACGCTCGATGCACCCTCCTGCATACACCTCCAATGAAACCCTAGCCCGAGTGCAATTGGGATCCACACACTTCTCTCCTCCCGATCCACGAAGTCAAGCAGATCTTAATCTGAGAGTTGACCAGCTAGCTTAGAGGATGGACGACCAAACCAATCTGGTGAGGCAGCTCATCAACCAAATAAACTTGGTTCAAAACCTTGGCCTTGGACAGCCGGGCGAAGAGAGAAGGATGGATGAACGTGCCGATCGGCAGCTTGATGGGTACCAAGCAGGTCGAGCAAGAGTAAGTAGACAAGGAGATGGACAACAACGTGATCAGCTTGCTGGCATGTCACAAGCACCAGCAAGCCACACCCAAAGCATGGAGGTTAAACTGACAATCGCCGCAATGAGGATCATGAAGAGAGGCGCTCCGCTGCCCGCTCACAGAGAAATATTCACGAAAGGTTAGGCCCCCAAGGAGGTCAACCTGGTAACCCTCACAATGAGGACCGTGAAGAAAGACACTCCACTACCCGCTCTCGAAGAACCAATTCTCGTTGCCAAGCTACAGAAAATCCCTTGCAAGCGCAGTCCACCAACAAGCCTCCTAGGCAGCTTAGACGAGAGGGTCGACCCTCGCAGACCAACGAGGAGGTCAATCAGCGTTGCTCGAATCGTGAAGGTCGCCAACGTGATCGACCAGCAATGTGTGCGGAAGACGTTGAGAAGCTTGTGAATGACCGACTTCGAGACTTGAAGACCGGTGGGAACCTCAAGGATGCACTATGTAAGGAGATGGACCAGGCGATCTCTACTCTTTTCACCCCTGAAATTGAGCAAGCTGCTCCTCCAAAGCGATTTTCAACACCTTCGTTTATATATTTCAAAGGGGATTCCGATCCCGAGAGCCACCTAAAACACTTCAAAGGTGTCATGATCCTCCACAAGGCCGACGATGCACTAATGTGCAAGTTGTTTGCAATAACCCTGCGATGAGCAGCTCAGGACTGGTTCTACACCCTGCCATCCTGGTCGATCAGCAGCTTCAAGGAGCTTGCTTATGTCTTCACTAAAGAATACACTTCTTATCGGACGATCAAAAAGAACCCTGATCATCTGTTCAATTTGCGCAAGAAGCTCGACGAATCCATTCGAGATTACATCAAGAGGTTCAAAACAGAAAAGGCTAACATTGTAGGATGTGACAACCAAATCGCGTCATCTACCTTGAAGAAAGGTCTTCCAGCTGAACACGACTTGCACCGCGAGTTGACTATCACTCCCAGCCAAACTCTGGCAGAGGTCTACGTGACCGTGGAACGCTATGCGCTCTGGGATGACGATCGAATCGCCGAAAAGAAGTCTACAAAACAGGAAGATCAGTCGACTAAACGGGCAGGCGAAAGAAGCGATGGATTTGACAACAAGAATAAGGACAAGCGCAGGTCACACCTGCAAGAGGACGCTAAGGCAGGAGAGAACTACACCAAGTTCACCATCCCTATACATCAAATCCTAGCCCATGTGAAAAACAAACCTTGGGTAAAAAGACCGCCACCTTTGAAAGGAGATCCGGACAAGAGGGGTACTGGCAAATATCGTGCCTTTCATGGGACGCATGGACAAACTACGAATAACTGCTTCGCTTGTAAAGCACACCTTGAAGAACTCGTCAGAGAAAGTCACTGCACGGAATTCATTGTGAAACAGGCCATCCAGCGGATTGAAGATCGTGACACCGCCAAGGAGCCGCCCTAAAAGGTCATAAGGATTAACACAATCCTAGCCGACTCCGAGGAATCTGGGCTGACCAGCAAGGAAAAGAAGAGGAATATCATACAGGCCATTATGATCTCCCAAGTCTCGACCGACCCTCCGCTAGTAGAAGACGATCATGTAATCGGCTTCCAAAAGAGAGATTTGATTGGCCTCGGCGTGCCACATAACGACGCCTTTGTCATCAGCATTCAAATTGCTCAGGCCATGGTTGAACGAGTCCATGCAGACGAGGGTAGTGCAGCCAACATCCTACAATTGGCGGTCATCCAACAGATGGGCTTAGAGACAAAGGTCAAGAAATCAATCAAGTTATTGACTGGCTTCAATGGCGCAACAACGGTTACCTGGGCACAATAGATCTCGATGTCTACTCCTCACCAGTAATCAGCTCGCAAATGTTCGTGGTCATTGATGAAGCCTCACCATACAATGACATTCTAGGCAGACCATGGATCAGCAAGATCAACGCCGTCACCTCCGCCACACATCAAAAGATTCGCTACCCAATCTCTGGGGGCGGAATTGGTCAAATCAACAGCGATCAAGCGATGACGAGGAAATGCTCAGTTCAAGGGCTAAAGAAAGGCAAGCAAACATGGTTCCTCCCTGTGAATCAGGCAGATCTAAAGGGAGTAGAACAACTGGAGGAGAAAGCAGATCCTATTCCTGACGGCTTAGCAGACCAGAAAGGAAAGGGAACAACTACTCCCCAATAGCAATCAAAGAATCAGGACCAAGTCGAGGGAATCCGTCTGGAGGTCTATCGTGAAGAAGGATGGAAGCCCGAGAAAGATGTTGAGCTAGTACCCCTTGATCCTGACAAGCCAGATAGAACAGCGCGGATCAGCTTGCGCCTAAGCTAGGAGGAAAAGGCAGAGCTTGTAGCCTTCCTCCAGAACAACAAAGACATATTTGCATGGTCACCATCCGACATGCCTGGCATCAATCCCCAAATCATCTGCCATGGACTACACGTCAACCCAGCTATCAAGCCTATAGCGCAGAAGAGACGCAACTTCGCTCCCGAGGGGGTTGCCATCATTGAAGCCGAGATCGACAAGCTTCTAGCTGCCGGTTTTATTGAAGAAGTCTCCTACGCAGAATGGCTGGCGAATGTTGTTCTAGTGGCGGAGAAAGATAAAGGCCCGTGGAGAGTGTGCATCGACTACACCGGCAATCAACTGCTAAAGACAACTTTCCACTGCCAAGAATTGATCAGCTCGTCAATTCAACTTCCGGCAATCAACTGCTAAGCTTCCTGGACGCTTACTCCGGCTATAACCAAATCATGATGCATGAAGACGACAAGGCAAAGACCTCATTCATCATCGAAAGAGATACATATTGCTACAAATTCATGCCCTTTGGGCTGAAGAACGCTGAAGCAACCTACCAAAGGCTGGTGAACAAAATGTTTAAGGAGCAAATCGGCAAGACTATGGAGGTCTACATAGACGACATGCTAGTCAAAGATCCTGAACCAGCATACCACATCAAGAATCTTGCCGAGGCATTCAGCCTACTCCGAAAATACAACATGAAGTTGAACCCGAGCAAATGCACATTTGGAGTCTCGTCCGGTTGATTCATTGGATACTTAGTCACCCGAAGAGGAATTGAGGCACATCCAAATCAAATCAAGGCTATACTCAATATGAAGTCACCTGCCACAACAAAGGAGATACAAAGTTTAACGGGTAGGGCAACAGCTCTCAACTGATTCCTTTCAAGATTTACCGACAAGTGCAGGCCATTTTTCAAAGCCTTGAAGAAGGGACACAAAGACAAGTGGGATGACAAGTATGAAGTAGCTTTTCAAAACTTGAAATTACCTCACTTCACCTCCATTACTCTCAAAATCGATACCAGGCGAAGACTTGTACATCTACCTGGCGGTATTCGACTCAGCTGTCAGCTCAGCTCTCATCCGGTAGTCTACACTTCGAAAGCTCTCCTCGATGCAGAGACTCGTTATCCAAAAATGGAGAAGCTCTTTTTTTCGCTTGTGGTTTATGCAAGAAAACTAAGGCCCTACTATCAAGCACACCGAATTATTGTCATAACAGAATTTCCTTTGAGATCGATCCTTCACAGCCCCGACGCTTCTCAGCGACTCATGAAATGGGCTATCGAACTCAGTCAATACGACCTCCTCTACCGGCCGAAGACTGCTATAAAAGCCCAAGCTTTAGCATATTTTGTTGTATAATTTACTCCGACAGCCGAAGAAGAGAAGATGGTCACAAAAAGCAAGGAAAAAGCAGACGACACCTCCCCCACCGATTTGAACCTACCTAACGACATGTGGCAGTTACATGTAGATGGAGCATCAAATCACAAAGGAGCTGGAGCAGGAGTCGTCATAATCACCTCAGATGGAACCTTGTTGGAACAAGCTATCACACTAGGCTTTTCTGCTTCAAACAACGAGGTAGAATATGAGGCATTGCTTGCAAGACTGCGCCTAGCGAAAGAGATTGGCCATCTACTCAGACTCCCAGCTGATCACGAATCAAGCCTCAGGCGAGTACATGGCAAAGCATCCAAGAATGGTCCAATACCTCGACAAAGTCCAAGAACTATTGAAAGAATTCCCTACTTTCACCATCCAACAAGTTCCACGGGCAGAGAACACTCATGCAGATGCATTGGCGAGCCTAGGATCAGCACTGGACACCCAGTTCAGACGCTCCATCCTAGTTGAACACCTTGACTGGCCAAGCATCAAAGAAATAGAGCCAATCGACTCAATGCAGATTGATGAGGACCCCAGCTGGCAAGACCCCATTATCGACTACTTAGTGAATGGAAATCTGCCAACGGACAAGTCTGAAGCTAGAAAGGTCCAACAGAAAGCTGCGAGATATTACATGCAATGCGACAAGCTCATTCGCAGATCATACTCCGGCCCTCATCTCACTTGCATAAAATACCCTCAAACACATGAGGTCCTCTGCAAAATTCACGACGACAAGTGTGGAAACTACTCTGGGGGCAGATCACTCGCCCAGAAGGCTCTAAACATAGGCTACTTATGGCCTACCATGTGCCACGACTCGGCTCAATATGTCAAAAAGTGTGATCGTTACCAACGATACAAGCCGATCCCTAATCTGCCTGCCGAAGTTTACCATCCGCAAAACAGTCCATGGCCATTCATGCAATAGGCCATCGACTCAGTGGGTCCCCTGCCACCGGCGCCCGCCAAGAAAGAAATGATGATCGTCGCCACTGACTACTTTACTAAATGGATCGAAGCCGAAGCTCTATCCTTTACTAAAGAAGCAGATGTAGAGCGATACATCTGGAGAAATACCATCTGCCGGTTTGGCTGCCCAAAATCGCTGGCCACTGACAATGGCTCACAGTTCATTGGCAAGCAGATCACCGCCTTCTTTGCAAAATACAAGATCAAGCAACACCTGTCCACTCTAAGGTATCCACAAGGAAATGGGTAGGCCAAGGCATCCAACAAAGTCATATTAGACTGCTTGAAGAAAAGGCTAGAAGGCGCCGAAGGAAAATGGGTAAATGAGCTCCCTGGAGTACTATGGGCTTATTGCACCACCAAGCGAAGATCAACTGGCGAAACCCCGTTTTCCCTCGCCTATGGAACTGAAGCGATCATTCCTCCTCACGTCACTGTCCCCTTCCATAGGCATTGAAGTGAGCAGCATTGAGCAAAACTCCAAGCAGATTAGACTTAACCTTGACTCACTTGAAGGCGAGCGCGAGAAGGCCATTGTCTTAGTCGCCTCCTATCAACAATGGTTGAAGTCTTACTACAACAAAAGAGCCAAGATCAGACAGTTTCAACCAGGCGACCTTGTGCTAAGGAAGGCCTTCGTCACTGCACAAAGACAAGGGTCTAAAAAGATGAAACCCAATTGGGAAGGCCCTTATGTAATCAGTCGGTCCAAGGGCAGAGGAAGCTATACGCTTGACACCATGGAAGGGAAGGAGATTCCGCAACAGTGGAATGCCTGCCACCTCCAAAGATACTATCCATGACGCTTCCTCCTACCTGCTCATGACTGGTACTACACATTTCTGAAGAAGAGAAGCAACTACTGCAAATTCCCGAATGTGCCACAACAAAGCACAACTGTTGCCCATAAGCAGCGTCCTTCGGAAGACGTAGGGCAACGATCAGAAGTGTCCTCCGGGAGACGCAGCCCATAAAAAGCGTCTTAAAGGAGACGCAGGGTGTGCCAGGAATTTCCTAAGAGAGGTATCTAGGTTCCTATCCGTTCCCTAAGGGAGACGCTGGGCGATGACTAAAAGTGTCCATTTGGTGACGTAGCCCGCTAAAAAAGCTTCATAGGGGAGACGCAGGGTGCGCCAAGAGTTTCTTAAAAGGGGGTCTCCATGATCCCTGTGGGAAATATCTAGGTTCCTATCCGTTTTCTAATGGAGGCAGGATAGTCATACAGTTGCTCATAAGTAGCGTCCTAAGGGAGACGCAGGGTGTGCCAAGAATTTCTTAAAAGGAGGTCTCCATGCCTTCTGTGGAAAGTACCCAAGTTCCTATCCGTTTCATAAGGGAGGCAGGATAGTCACACAGTTGCTCATAAGCAGCGTCCTTCGAGAGATGCAGGGCGACGACCAAGTCATCCTAAGGGATATGCAAAACACGCCCGAAGTCCTTCAAGAGGGACCCTGGCACTCACGAATCTCCAAAGGGAGATGTGCAATCAAGACACAGGCTGGTTTCTCAAGCAGTTCATAAGACACTATGCGAATTGATGTCGGCCTTCCTTTTTTAAGGGGTCTAGCAGAACACTCCTCATGACCAGCCGACAGGTCATCAGAGTCTAGACCATTCTACTTCCATGTCGCAACATCTTAGGCAAAAGGCAGACCACCAACTTCTTTCGGATACTCGCTCAGCAGCAACCAGCAGCCACTGCCGCTTCAATAGGTCTTCAATCGCCAGTCACGACGTCAACTAGCCTAGTCCCACCCAGCTATACCTTGCC